AAAGTTTGCATTCCCATCGTAATGTACAATTTCAGGCTTCGATCTTTTGGATAACAAGACGATTACAGTGAGAATTAAAGTCCACACGAATCCAGAATGCAATGAGCAGTTAGCGGTTTTAATATTCAAGATGTTCATTGTTCAAATTGATCGTATCCAAAATTACGCGCGAAAATAACAATTTTGGTAAATTGCGCGAATCGGTATCAGTTCAGCAGAAATTCGTTAGCTGTTCAAATAGCGTCAGCACACACAATCACGCACACGCTGGCGAAAGTCAACGGAGTTCTTTAATTACAATCGAAAATGACCAAATCCACGTAAATTTGTTACTTTTTCGTCCACAATAAATATAAAAACTGTCCGCAAACTTCAGAATACCTTGGATAGTGTTCTTATCCACATCTTTCATTCAAATTTGTATTCAATCTTGAGTGTTAAAGGTATAAAAACAAAGAGTTTTCCAGAGCGCTTAGCGTGCATACGCACGCGCGAAGCACGTATCATCCACTCACAAGGGGTGGTTTCGTTTCTGCTGCTGGGAAGTCTGCTGATTTCTGGTCTTTAAATGGTAGCATTACACATCAAAGAGAACGTGGTACGTGTAATGCTACCATTTAAAGACCAGAAATCAGCAGACTCGGTGAGGCGACAGCTGCGTAACCTCAGCAAGACCATCGGTAGACAAATACAACCGGTCTACACAAGCAGAAAGATTGCCGCAGACTTCCCAGCAGCAGAAACGAAACCACCCCTTGTGAATCAGCAATGTGTTGTTTATTTATTCAAATGTGATCTGCGCGACGCAGATTATGTCGGTTACACTTGCCGACACTTACATCAACGCATTGATGAACACAGGTCATCGGTTGCCGGAGAACATATGGTTCAACAGCATGGCGAGGACGCAAAGAACATCGGGAAAAACTTTAAGGTATTGAGAAAATGTCGGGGAAAGTTCGAGTGTTTGCTCTATGAAATGTTATAGATCTTAAACCTAGTAAGATATTAAAGATCTTAAACCTAGTTTAAAAAAACAATCGGACTCGATACGCTCAAAACTATTTACTTAACATTCTATATTAGCATAATTGTTCGTCTAGTGTTGTTTTATTGTTTGTTTAATTGTTTGTTATCAATTTGTATGTTTAATTATTCTAATTATGTTAATTAAGTTTAAAATTGCAACTGTCATGTATGA